CCAGCGCTGCGGGAACCCTGGCTCCCGCGGTGCTGGTCTCCGGCCGCTCCGGGCCGGCCCCTCAGAGTTGGCCGCACCGCTGCCGGGCCCGCGGGCCACCCGTGCCGCGGGGAGGCTCCGGCCGGGACCCCTCCGCCGGAGCCCGCGTGGCGGTGCGCCTCTCGCCGGAGGCCTGGCCGGGGAAAGCAAAACGAAAGGACCGAGGCCTTCGCTTTCCTGCGACCCGCCCCCCAGCAGACGCCGGCTCCGCGGGACCCGCGGCCCCTTCCCTCGCCGTGCCCCGGCCCGCGCGCCTCGGGGCCGCGAGGAGGCGCTGAGAGCGGGGCTCCCCCCGCCCCCGCCCGCCCCCTCCGGCTGCGCCGCGGGGAGCGCACGGCCGGCTCCGGGGAGGCCCCGCCGGGGGGAGGCCGCCGGCCGAGCCTGCGCCGCGCTTCCGCACTCGCGCCTTCGGGCCGCGCGCCCCCGCCTCTCCTCGCTGCCCGCGCCCCCGGCCCCGACTCCCCCGTGCCCCCTTTTCGGCCTGGCCCTGGCTGGCGGCGGGGCCCTCGAGGGTTTCAGATCCAGACTACCGCCTGACCCCAGCCCCAACCGACTCCCGGCGCCCCCTCCCTCGTTGGAAAGTGCGCGGAGGTGCTCGTTGGAGTCTGAAAGTGTGGACTAAAGGCAAAGCTGAGGACGTCCGGGGGTGCTGCCTTCTTCCCCTCGCCTCGGGCCCCAACACCCCCGTCCGCACTGAGCACAGCTGCCGGCCGGGGGCAGCGCCGTCGAGCCGCCGGGAACCCGGTGTCCAGCCTTGCGGAGCCGGCCAAGAACTTGGGGCTCGGAGTTGGCGGAGCCCGGGCGCAGGTGTGGCTGGACCCGCACCTGAGTCGTGCGCGGGGCCGCGTCCTCCCAGGTCTTGGACCGGATGCACACGTGCTGGGCCTCCGGGGTCGTTTCCTATGTGACATCTTCCCTTCCATTTTTGTGTCTCGTATTCTGTACTAATAAAAAGATGGGAAAGGAACAGTACCTCCCTTCCCTGAGACAAGTCCAACAGCGTCAAGGTTTTAAAGAGGTGGGGGGGCCTGGGAAGTGTTGAGAGAGAGAGAGAGAGTGGTTGACATCTATGTCAGGTCGCTCAGAGATTTCTATCTGGTGATGCGGGGTTTGGGTACAGTTTTTAAGGAAAACTTCCTTTAAAAAGAGAATTCACACACACCACACTTTTATGCATGTCCCAGTGCCTGCGTCAGACGTCTACATCCATTTTTAGTATCAATTACATTGTGCTATATGCTGCTTTTGGAAGCGAAATTATTCTTGTGTGGAATCCCCCTAACCACGGTTTACTTTTGGGGGTGGAAAAGATGAGTTCAGTCTCTGCATCCACTGAATTACTGGAAAAGAAAGACATGTACAGGTGTATCCTTAGAACTTTGGGCAAGTTCGACCACTGTCATCGGAATATTTTACTGACCTTAACCCTGAAACGTAAACACTTTAAAGTTGCAAATGTAAAGAATTGACTTTAAAAGGCTTGAAAAGCAAAGAATAGGAAATAAGACAAATACACCACAAGCATAGAAATGTTAATAATCTTCCCCCTCCTGGACAGGAGTGACCGAGTCTCTTTTGCACTGCTGACAAACCTGATGGCCCAAATGTAAGGTCTGTTGAGACCTGTGTGTAAAATCCTGACGTTTTCCCCCAAAAGAGTGCCAGAGAAACATTTAAGAGTCGTATGTTTGCTTTCATCATTATAGATAATACATTGAGTCCACTAATTTGGTTATGGGGTATGGAGTGCTTTTATTTTCAATTCAAGTATGCAAATATGGAGTTATTTCAGTAATTTTAGATTTGTTGTTGGGAAAATGATTATTGTATCCTATAACTTGAATGATTACATGCAATTGCCAAGTGAATGCCTACTTCAATTGGTAACAGTGTTTTAATTCTCTGAGGGAGGAGAGGAGGAGGGAGATTTCCTATCTAGATAAAACCCAGCTAATTTTTCTTAAAGAAGCCTTTTATTATTTAAGTGATGTAGCTATTCTCATTTCTTTACCTAGGCTACCCTAAGTCCCTTGTCATTGCTGCCAAAGTACTTATATGGCTTAGAGCAATTACTGCTCTTAAAACAGGGGCAGGCTGCAATGTATACTTGTTGAATGAATTAATACTTTGTTTATGTGTCTTTCTCCCCCTGGATTTCATGTGCTGGAAGACAGGCACATTCAGTTATTTGCAAATTGCCTGGCACACATTGATACTTAATATTTGTTTGGCTTGGTAGAGGAATACACACACATACACTTGATTCACCTCAACAATTTTTCAAATGTGGATGTTAATATCTACTTAGCACATAAAAAGCCTTAACTTTTAAAATTCAGTTAGGAGCTGAAGGAAAAAAAATGTATGTATGCTAAAATTAGCAAAATTTCTCTTAGGCATGTGTGGAATATCTTCCCATGATAATGGGATTTTTCTGGATTCCCAAAGCAGATTTTTAGAGAAGTAGAACAGGATTTTTAAACTGACTTTATAATGTTGTCTTGTAAAGTCTAATTTTCATAAGTAAAAATATTAAATGCAAAAGTGATTTTAAAGTTACACATGCCTAGCTTAGGCTTCCAAACAAATCTTTCATAGAAACATTTTTGCAATTTCTTCAGATAATATGTTTCATCCTCATTCAAATGGATAGTGTAATAGGTCAAGTACAGTGTATGTCTGCATTTAAAGTCAGCTGGTACTTTAAGAGCAGTAATCTTAAATAGCACTTTTTTAAAAGCTGAACTATCCCTTTGAACAGTTTTCTTTCTCGTTATTCAACTGTTACAGGTGTGTATGTGACCATGGGGTGTTCGATTAGCTTTGAAAAGCAGAAGGTATTTTATTTTGAAGTCAGTAAGTTGAAAAGTGGGTCAGAAAATATAGATTGGCTTTCTTGTCAGTAAAGGTTACCTGCTGCCATATTTTGTATTTGAATTGCTGATAAGAATATTCATTTATATGCATATTATAATCATTCTGTTGCATTTCTCCATTTAATTTTAAAGACTTTGTTTTCAAAAAAAACTAGAATAAAGAGCCAAAGATCTGCTTCTTTAATGTGTCCAGTTTCAGATATACAGTAGGAATCTTATATTATGTTTTATCAGAAACAATAAAATTTAACCCACAGACATTGTTAATGACAGATACTCAGGACCTATAGTTAAAAATAATTTATGTACCATTTGAACTTAAGCTTTTAAACTTGGTAGCATTCCATAAGTAGACTTGTATAAGTAGCATGTTTATAAGGTTTAGACACTGTTTTCACTATTGAGTTCCTAGCTCAACACTTTTAGAGTAGAAATCATAGTAAAACAATTACTAAAAATGGCAGCTGTGGTAGCTTAGGAGTTTGAATTATTTAAGGACTGAAACCAAATATGGAACCTTTTAGTTTTAAGGGGATTTTTTTTTTCACAATGCAACAAGGAACTGAAAACAAAATTACAGTGAAGGTTTTATTTGCCATTTCAATTATTTGCTCAATCTGTTTTCCCCCACATCTCTAAATGGGACCATACAAAAACTTCAATTTTAAAAGACCTGTTTCCTGAGAGAAATGTGGAGATCATAGTGAAACTTATGACTTTGGAGTTAGGTGAAGTCATTGTGAGTATCACTGGCTTCTGAACTTGCAGAGCAAACGGCATGCACCTGCTCTGGGCATAGCAGGGACCTGACTGCACACACTTACTCTTTGTTATTGCTGGTCTATTCCCTAGCCTTCTGGGGCTCCACAGAATACCAGGACTTCATCAGAGAGCTCAAGTCAAGGTGAGAGCTTAAAGATTATGATACAGGACTCACCCCAAATATGAGAACCAGCCTACGCCCTTCTATGGATGAGATATCAAGAAGTTTCCTGTCTTGGCACTACTCAGCAACAGCTGTGGCTATCTATTCCATTGACACCTGGTGAAATTGTAGTTGCTGATGGAGAAACATTTCAAATTGACACCTGTCATTGAAACATGTCCTGCACAGTTTTCAGGCAAGCTAGAAACCAGTGACAAGACTAAGTGCTTAATTTTTGTTAAAAGAAACCGGGTAAAATAATAATTAATAATAATAATAAAGTTCTACAAGCTAGAGAAGTCTGGTTAAGATAATTAGAATCAAGACTTCCCAGGGAAAGATTCTCTCTCCCTTTCTTTTGGAAATGTCATGTAGCAAGAAAATGAAGCCTAAATCTGAAAGACAAAAAGAAATGTTTAAAAGTCACAGAAGTGAGGAAACAGCAAAGTTAGTAGTAATGAGGAGAAAGTCACGGAAGGCAGGACATTTACCATCCTGTTTTCCCCGTCTACTTTTCTCATTGATTCTCTAGGGGTTGCTTATCACATACTCTTAAAGCAGTATAATTAAGTTATGGACATGGTTGGTCTGGACTCTCCAGGAATCCTGAAGCCAGAAATGCCAGGCAGTATGAAAGCTGGATTAAAGAGGAAAACCATGTGGCTTTAAGGCTGCATTGACAGTGTATGTATCAGATTACACAAGGTCACATGTGAGAAGTCTCTTGACCGTCTAAGCCAAGGCGACTCCACTGATGCAGTTTTCTGGTCTCGCCGCGCTTGGACTCTCGGGGTTCCCTCGGGGTTCTCTCGGGGGCTCCCCGCAACCTTCCCCTTCCCCTCCCCCCCCCCCCCCCCACCCCCCAGCCAGGACCGAGTAGGTGCCGCGGTCGGGAAGCTTTGCGGCTGTGGGTTCGGTGTGCACGGAACCTCGCGCTTCTGGCGGACGCCCGGGGCCCGCAGCACAGCGACGTCCACGGTGCACGGTCCCCGCGGCGGCGGGGCGACTCCGGGACGGGCCCCAGGGCCCCTGCGCGCGGAGATCCCCCGGGGCGGGCCGCCTCCGCCCCGCGCCCGGTACCGCGGCTGTGACGTCACGCCCGGGCCCGGCCGTCGCCGCGAGACGGCCGCGTTCCGGTTCCGGTCGGTTGCCCCGGAGACGCGAGTACACAGAGCGAACCGGCTCCCGTCGGAGGCCGAGTCGTCGCGGCGGTCGCCCCCTCGGCTGCTCACCGGCTGCGTCGCCGCCGGGCTTGTCGCCATGAGTCAGAGGCAGGTGCTGCAAGGTGAGGGCCCGGGGCGCCCCGACGGGGCTGGCGGCGGGGAGCCCCCGCGGGGACGGTGGGGCCACCTGCTGCACCGTGTCTCCCCCTCCCCTCCCCCCGCAGTGTTCGAGCAGTACCAGAAAGCCCGGACCCAGTTCGTGCAGATGGTGGCGGAGCTGGCGACCAGACCCCAAAACATCGAGACGCTGCAGAACGCGGGTGAGCCGGCGCCCTGACCGCGCGTCGCTGCGCGCCCCCGGCCTCGCCCCTGCACCTCGAGGTGCTAGTCGCCCCTGATGCTCAGCCCGCTCTCGCCCCCTAACTTCCTTCCCCTCACCCGGTCTCCCGGGCCCCTAGTCTGCCTGGGTCCCTGGCCCCCTGCCTCAACCCCGGCCTCATTCGGGCGCCCCCCGTCGTCCTGCTCCCCTGCCGGCTGAGCTTTTGGAGAAGAGCAGGGTGGGGGCGGGAGGGCGGCGCCCCTAAATTCCTCCAATCCACCGCGGACGCCGTCGGGTAGAAGCGTTCGTTCTGCTGAGCGGGCCTTTCTGGGTGTGAGGCCGAGAGGGCGAAGCCTCCAGATGGGTGCGAGAGGGGCCCGGCGTCTCCATTTCCATCTTTCTCACAGCCAGGCAAGTGTCAGGTTGAAAGTCAAGGCCGTACGAATTGCCTGGAAGTCATTTTACATGAGTGGGAATCCACCTTAATCAGACCCATTTTATGCGGGTGCCGTTGCCTGTCACCCTGCCTTTGATCACCTTCGACTTCCTCACACCAAAGGAATTCCAGAGCGGTGGACACACTATTTCTCGTCTTGCGTCAGTGAAAGAGCAGAGATTTGCTTGAATAATTTCCAAGACATTCAAAGTAGGTAAAGTGTTAGCTTTGAGACGTCCTTATGGTGCTGTCATTCCGCCCCCTCAGTCCGAACTCAAGCAAACTCTAGAAAGAGGAAGAGAGGGAGAGGGGGGAAAGGGAGGGAGGGAAAGAGAGGTTTGCTTCTTATCAACTAACATAAACAGATGGAGAAGATAATGGTGGATTCAGGATGATTCTACCACCATCTGAACTCAAAGTCAGGTAGCACTTTATGACTATTGTGTTATCAGTGTTCAGTTTATAGGATGTGATCTTTAAAACTCATTCAAATTAACACGGAATTAAAAGAAATTTAAGAACATATTGACAAGGCAAGAATGTTTTAAAATAATGTTTACTGTGGCTTCTTTGAGCAGAATTACTATTGTACCCAGATGGCAATTTCTTCTGTCACTGAGAGGGATTTGGGTGTTTATTCCTTGTATGTTTTTATTGGGGGAGGGGTTGTATTCGGAATAGAGAAAGTATAGTTGGTAATCATGTTTTAAAACTCCTTTTGGGAGGATAATTGTGGATTTACATGCAGCTGTAAGAAATAATAGAGATCCGCTGTCCCTCAAAACTGTGGTATGATATGACACCTGGGATGTCGACAATGACAAAAATCCATGTTTTATTCAGGTTTTCCCAGTTTTGCTTGTACTTACATGTGTGTGTGTACGAGTGTAAGTTTAGTTCTATACAGTTTTATCCCGTGTGTAGCCATCATTACTATAGTCAGATACAAAAACACTTTCTCACTGCAAGGATCGCTTATGTTGCTCTGTTAGAAAGAACCACACCCACCTTATTCTTGTCCCTAACCCTGGACAGCCACTAATCTGTTCTCCTTCTGAAAATGTCAAAGTTGCTAATCTTTTGTTCTGCATTTGTTTCAAGTGGATTAATCTTCTTTCTTCTGCGTGTGCGTGTGTGTGTGTGTGTGTGTGTGCTTATGAGCAAGAGTATATACTTCTCAAAGTACCCAGAACAGTGTTGGACACAGTGTATCATATACAGAGACTAATATAAATTTATAAGAGCATATTTTTAAATGCACTTAAGTTTTAGGTTTTTTCTCCCCTCAGTCCTACTCCATGGCTTTTGTGAATGGACACTTACTATTTACAAATATGTAATTTCTGAACTACATGTGTACTATGTTTTAGCTAAACTAAAACATTTTTTAAAAGGGGAAATGATTGGCATTGTTTTAAAAATTTGATACTGAAACACAGGGGTATAAATCACACTTAAGATACAGAATATCACATTTTAGTATAATAGTGGCAGGTTATCTCTTCCTGTAAGTGTACAGTGTAGAATATATTACGGAATTTAATCATTAGGCTAAATGATCACCGAAGTATAAGTGACTTAGATATGGCATCTTAAATAGCCACCTATTTCCACTTGTGGTCTGGCTTATGAAGGAATGGAATATAACAATGTTGTGAAGTTGTTTGCATTTGACCAATGTTGATGGAATGCTAAGATTTTTTTTTCTTGAGGAAAAACATTTTTAACATATTTTTGCTACCTAGATTCAATTTAAGCACTTCTTTAATAATTTTAAATTGAGGCAGCTAATGGATATTCCAATATACTTATTCTTTTAATTAAGATAATCTGTAAGCTTTGTTAATGAACACATAATAGTCTATAACCATTCAAATGGTTTGTTCTTTTAAAAGAATCACCATGGATTTTAAAATACTTTTGAATGAGCCACAATATATATATGCATCATTTATAAGCTTTTTTTTTTTTTCAGCCAAGTGACTTCATTTTGGTAGAATAAAATATCAATGCATTTTATTCCTGACTTTGACAGACTCTTTACATACCTGGGAAGGTTTTGTTTTGTCTTCTCACTTTTCTTCTCCAATGAACTGCTTAAATAAATATGTATCATGGATCCAAGATAAGGTGAAAAATATTTTCCATATAGGCATCATGATAAATCAGCATTAATTCACTAGTTAAAGAGTTTTGAATACATTCACTGTGGAAAGAACCTTAAAGGTAAAACTTCTCAATGGAGTTTTATTTCATTTAAATCTCTGATCTTTTTCATTATACTTCTGATGTGCTGATAAGAAGATTTACTTTGTTAAATATGTCCCAAGTAATTACTAGAGCAAACAAAGTGCTACAAGATTTGGACAAAAATGAGTTTGATTTCGAAACAAAATTGTTGCTAGGAAGAATGGTATACAATGTGTCTCCAACCTAGAGTTATTTTTTTCTTACTGAGATTTTGCTCCTTCTAAAATACATACATGAAAAGATGAAAAAGTTTAATGTTTGTCATAAAATCTCTTGATGCACCCTCCAACTCTGTACATTAGAACAAATACATCTTGCAGCAATTTATAAATGAATTTTGATACTTCCCCTCTTTGAGTACGCAGTAACACGTGTAACACATTGTAAATAGTAGAGATAATACACTGCTACTTCTACCAATGGTTGAATTTCAGCAAAACAGAGGTGATTGTTTAGTTATAAAATATAAGGAATATGTCTTGTAGCATATTGGAGTATCAGGCCACTCTTAGGTTGTTTAGAAAGTCTTTTATAATAAGCTACTATAAAACCTCCAAAGAAAATTCTTTTTAAACTGTTTAACTATATCAACTATTTCTGAGGCAGCTATTTATGTAAGAAAATTGGGGTAATGTTTAAAGTAATACTTTGTAATATTTAACATGTAACCTATTGCAAAACAACAAACATTCCTAATCCGGAGTTATGCACATTTTTCAGAAGAGCAGGAATGGAGAAGGCTGCTTAACACTTTAAATATGCATCTGCATGAAGCTAATTTGCAATTTTAGGCAATTTAATGGGTTTAGAATTCAAGGAAATAAGTCATATACATTGACACAAAATGATTTTAAATTTCATATGTCTGGGGCAGGGTGAAAATGTTCAGATTAATGATTTAGCACCTCAATTTGCCAAGAAGGAAAAGCTGGTAGTAAGCATTTATAATGTGTTTAAAACAGCCTTGTTAGGTACGTCCTATGATTCTCTGTTCCCAAGGATATTGAAACTGAAAAGATAATGAGTAGAGCAACTTAAAAAAAAAAAACAAAAAAAAAACCCTTAACCAATCATGCTATTTAAATTTCATGAATATAAAAGGAGTCTTAGAAATGTGAATGCATAATAATTAAAGCACTGATCTTTTCTTCAAAGATAGGCATAGTGGGTTTTTTGTGTTTTGTTTGTTTGTTTGCTTAAGTGGAAAACATATCAGGGAATTATAAAAATTCTGAACTTGTATGCACTTAATATGTGTTAATAAGATGTGGTTTACCTATACAATGGAATACTACATGGCAATGAGAAAGAATGAAATCTGGCCATTTGTAGTAATGTGGATGGAACTTGAGGGTGTTATGCTGAGCGAAATAAGTCAGGCAGAGAAGGACAGATACCATATGTTTTCACTTATAAGTGGATCAGGAGAAACTTAACAGAGGACCATGGGGGAGGAGAAGGGGAAAAAATAGTTGGGGAGAGGGAAGGAGGCAAACCATGAGAGACTCTTGAATGCTGAGAACAAACTGAGGACTGATGGGTGTGGGGGGGAAAGGGGGTGATGGGCATGGAGGAGGGCACTTGTGGGGATGAGCACTGGGTTTTATAAGGAAACCAACTTGACAATAAACTATGAAAGAAAAAAATATTAAAAAAATAATATGCGTTAATAATACACAATAATATCCTGAAAACAAGATTATTCCAAATTTTGTTCTGTGTTCCAAACCCTTGTTCCTACATGGACATTTATCTGCTTTGTTATCTAACCATTGATACATAAGTGAAAAATAATATAACCATTGGCACATAAGTGAAAAATAATATAACCAGGGCTAGGATCTCATTGTATTCCTAGGGAAAACTGGATGATTAAAAAAAAAAAAAAAATCCAAGCTATGGATGATCCTATAAGAGTGGGGCTTAGAAGTAGCAAGTTTGTGTGGATTAAATTTTATGTGACAAATTAATGTTTTTGAAAAGTTATTTAAGTATTTCCGAACTCCTCTTTACATTTCAATGTTTTTTTTTTTTCATGGCTTTTGATCCTCTGACTTTTATAGAACCTTTACCTATAGGTTCCTTGCCTAATTAATTTCTACTCATTCTTTATGGCTCTGTTTAGATGTTGATTCCTCAGGGAAACCTTCCTTGAGCTCTCACAGTAAGTTAAGTCTCTTGATTTATGCTTTCCATGCTCCTAATATTTCTCTTTCATGATACTCATCACAATTGCAATGATTTAGTTTCCTCTTTCTCCACAAACTCTAAATTCCATGTCTAGCATAATGTTTAGCATAGAACAGAGGTTCAAC